AAAGAAGAGCTTTTTATGTACAGAACATCCATTTTACAAAAGTCTGGCCGAGTACAGCGTACAACGGACGATGATGATGAAGACGACATGATGCATAGAAGGTACAGAGAGGAGCCAAACATTTCCACTGTTGTTTTTTTTTCTTTTTTTTATACACCCAAGAACAAAAAAATTGGAAAAGAAATTATATTATAGATTTATATTTATATACGTATGGGTTGTTCTTTTTTTAAAAAAAATGAAACGAACGAACAACAAAAAAAAGATGGCACTGCTTCAAAAGTGAAGAGTCTTCCCAGATACAGGGAGGGAGACGCGTTTCGGCCTCCTCTTCTCCGAAACCCACCGCCGTGCGTCTCCGGTTCGACCCGGGGTCAGCGCTTCGGGGGGGGGGGGAGGTGGCAGGGAGACAAAATGGAAGACAGATTCAGCTCGGGCCTCTTTCCCTCGGCCTTTGAATAGGAGGTGGCGGGGGAGGGAGAGGTCAGCTCTTCCCTCGTACCCACCCCACCGGGATGGGGCTCACGGCACAAGAACGGTCCGAGCGCCAACGGGCCGGATCTCCAAACCAGAGTTCCTCGACAGGAGGGGAGAAATCCTCCACCCTCTGAAACCACGACTGTCTCCATGACGGACTTGCCACCCCCAGCAGGGAAACCCAAGACGTAACAGCGTCCATATTGGCTTCGTTAGGACCAGAATCTTTTTGCATATACGGTCGTTCCTGGTCGGCGTCCTCCTCCTCCTCCTCCTCCTCTTACCTCCTCTGAACCTGTCAATATACAGCTTTTCCTTCCGGGGCCCGTGAGTGTCATCTGACCACAAGGCACAGCACGCAAAGCTTGGAGGGCCCGATACAGTCGTCGTGGCAAAAGGCCCCGCAGCCCTGGCACATGATCATAGCTTTAAGGCTGCACGAGCACTTGAGGGAGAGCTCTTCCATGCCTTTGCCCGTCTCGGCGAACACCTGGGCGGAGAAAGACAGCCTGCCCCGGGAAGACGCCGCCAAGTTGGCTTTGGGGCCAAAGGGGCCGGTGCCGCCTTCCAGGCTGCTGGGGAAAAAGGAGCCGCCCGCCGAAGAGGCGTAATTCAGATGGGAGGAATTCAGCTGCAGCTTGGAGAGCTTCCCGTAAATCGCCTGCTTGATGTTGAGCTGGGAAGGGAGGGAGGAAGGCTCCAGGGGCTGCGTGGCCCCCTTCCCCGGCTCCTTCGGCAGCTTGAAAAAAGCCAGGTCCCTCACCAGGGGGAGGCTCTGCCAAGGCTCCATCAACTGGGGAGGCGCCTCTTTCTGCGGCTCCCTCTTTCTCTGGATGGAGGCCAGGACCTTCTTGTTCTCTGCTGAGCCGCCACCGTTCCTCTTGGACGGCCAGTCCTCCCTCGCCGGAGGCAAGCAGGCTCCCAGGGCAACGGCCTTGGGCGGGGGAGAGACCACTTTGCTGTGCGACAGCATGGCCCACATGGGGAAGGGCTCCGAGCCGTGGGGCTTCTGGGCCTTGGCTGAAGCCCCGCCGGAGACGCCCGAGCCGAAGACCTTCCTGCCCAGAGCCGCGGGGGGTTTCTCTACGGGGCCGTTGCTCGGCTGCTCCGGCCGCAGAGAAGTCGTGCGGAGAGGGAGCTTGGGCCCCGGGGCCATCTTGAGCTTCTCGTCCAGCTTCCCGATGCTGGCAGTAGAAATTGCCCGGGAAGGATCCAATTGATCTGGATGCGAACAGGGAGAGATCGGATTCTTTCCCAGATTTGAGAGCTCGGTTTTCAGGGATTGATTGACGGCTTGATCCAGGGATCCTAAATTGGGACTCTTCTCCAGAGGCAGGCAGGCCCTTTCGGCAGAGTCCCACAAAGGTTGGGGTGCACGCGTGGCCTTCCTGGTCGGGACACTCAGGCCTGTCCCCTCCCTGTAAGAGACATCCTGCACGAGGTGATCACCACCCTTAACCGCTTCGTGGAAAGGGCGAATCTCTGCCGGACGTTTGTCCCGAGAAGAGGCTGCGTCCGCCTCAGAAGAGGCCGGCAAAATGCTTTGGGGAGGCAGGCCCTGGGGGATTACTCGTCCCTCGTGGGGCTCGCTTGCTTCAGTGGACACAGGCTGCGGGACGGCCGAGCAGGACCTTTCCTGGATTGCGACATCAACGGGGAGAACTGACTTGCCCGCGGCGAGGATAGGCGCCAGCAACCTTGTCCTGCAGTGTAAGTCGACAACCCTGACCTCCGAAGGCAAACCTTCCCTGCTTTCTGAGATGACCCCTCTGCGTCCCTCCAGGCGCCTCTGGTCCGACCCGTCTTCCCTCTCTTCAGCCTGGCGACAATCCCCGTTTATCTCCAAGTTCTCATCGGTGAGCTCAGCGTCCAAATCGGAGGCCGTCTCGGTGGTCTCACTCAGTGGACTCTGGGCTTCCTCGTCAATGCCGGGGCTGGCGCTCGGCCCTGCCGTTGCCCGCTCTCGGTTGGTCTCTACTTCCATGCCTGAGGATGCCGCCGCTGGGCTCTCGTGGATGGTCATATCGCAGCAAGGAGGGAGCAGGCCTGTTGTCGACTGGGAAGCTTCCTCTGGGCTACTTAGGGCCCCTCTTCCAGGGCCTGGTGTGGCCCTCTGAGTTTGGTATGGTGGAAGGTCCATCCCAATAAGACTGGGTTCCTCTGGAAGGCCCTCCCAAGCGGGAGAAGCCAATGCCTGCGAGCCAACTCCCGGGTTGCTCTCAGAAGGCAAGTCACAGCCCTCCTTCCCGCTTGTGGCTCCGAAGAGGCCGCTTTCGGGGTCTCCTCCTGGCCAGCCATTGCTCCGCTGGCTCCCCACAGGAGATTCCCTCCTCTCCTTCCGATTGCGGCCCTCCAGAGTAGCATCTGGAGAAGAAGGTGGAGGCCTGGGATCATCCACAAGGTGACCGGGGCAACCGACCGGCCCTTCCGCCGCTCTGCGATCTGGGACGCCACCTTCCGAGGACTCCTCCAGCTGGGCAGCAGCTTCCTGGGAAGGAAGACTCGCGGCCTGTCCGCCCTGCTCGAGCGCTGCTTTGCCGGCAGGCTCTCTGGCCTGAGAAGGCAAGCTCGCTTCAGGCTCCTGCCAGCCGGCACTCTTCCCAGCTAGGTGGGAAGGCGGCAATAGCTGTGCTCGCTGTAAATCTGACCAGCGCTTCCCACGAGTTCTCTTGCGACGCCAGTGCTTGGCGCGGTGGCCCCTGGATTGCCGGACCCGGCTGTTGTTGATGTTGCCGCTGCTGCTGCCGCCGCCGCCGCGACCACCACCACCGCCTTCGTCTGGGCTCCTTCCGCCGCCTCCTCCCGGCCCACCCCCACCTCCAATGGTGGAGGCAGGAGCAGAAGCCGCTCGCTGGACTCGGTCTTGCAAAGGACAGGCCTCAGCGTCAGCAGAGGCTGGGCTCCCCCTTCGGTCCGGCCTGATGGGTTCTGGATTGGGGATAATCCGAGGACATATCTGGTAGGCTGGCTGACCTTTAACCACCCAGGGGGGTTTGATTCGGGAAAGTTGAATCTGGAGAGAAGGAAGAAGAACACGGTCATTAAGAGGACGTCCTTGAGGCCTCCATGTTAATTTATACCACACACACATCACACACACACACAATTATATCACACACGCACACACCGTGTTTCCCCGAAAATAAGACCGTCTTTTTTTTTTTTTTTTTCCCCCAAAAAAAGGCATCAGGTCTTATTTTCGGGGGATGTCATCCACTAACCTCTAGCCCCCGGCCTCCTTTTCACTGTCAGAGGCCTTCAGCTTTTTCTGCGGCCAGCAAGGCTTTCCTGAAGGCCTCTGCAGGCGATAACAGAACTCTGGATCGATCCAGAGCTTTTATCATCAGTTCCAGAGGCCTTCAGGAAAGTCTTGCCAGTCTTGCCGGCTGCAGAAATGGGCCAGCAAGGCAGGTGTCAGGGTGTGCGACACCTGGCTACAGCTATCCAAAGGTAAATCATCGGGCAGCTCCGCCCCCCCCCCCATCCCTAGCCTAATTTTTACCTGTTCCCTGTGGAGTGGGCAGGATCTTAATTTGGGCTTATTTTGGGGGGTAGGGCTTATATTGAGCGCACATGTAAAAATCAAGCTAGGACTTACATTCAGCGTTGGTTGTATTTTTAGGAAAACAGGGCAATTAGATAGATAGATATAGATAGGATAGATATGATATATAACCTGAAAGGTTTTTTTTTTTGAACTATTACCATCTGGCAGACGATACAGGATAATAAAAAAACAAGGACAAATAGGCTGAGAAACAGCTTCTATCCCAGGGCAGGAGCTCTATTAAAGTCTACTGTGTAGTGCAATATGAATGCAATATCGGGTTTTCAATTCAATTGTATGGAATGAGAAGGATGCGTGTTTTTGTTCTGTTTTTATAGTTATAATGATGTTCATTGAAGGTGTTTAATTTTGTTGTACAAGGTCCAATGACAATAAGCTAAACTAAACTAAAATCATTTGTAAATATTTAATTTTCAGAAGCAATCCTCCCCTAGGACTGAAATGTAATGACCGAGGCTCCCTTCTCAAGGAACACTGGGGAGTGCAGGCTGGGAAAGGCCTCCCTTTGCAGAACTACAACTCCCAGAGTCCTCTGGGGGGAAAAGGCTCGGAGACAGGGATCTTCCTTCCTAGGTTTAGCGCTAAAGGGCAAAGCCAGACCGACAGTACCCTCCGCTACGATATGGTTCGTGCAACAGTATTGGGGGGGGGCAGGGTGTCCATTCCCAGGAGGAGGAAATTAATCCAGTTCATTTATTCAATTTGCACCCCGCCTTTATTGTTTTTATAAATAAGTCAAAGTGGGGGAACAGAACCTGAGATGCCTTTCTGCTAGTTTCCCTACAAGAACGCTGACAGATGGGTTGGACTGAGAGACAATGACGGACTCAAAGTCACCCAGCTGGCTCTTATGCCTAAGGCAAGGCTAGAATTCCCAGTCTCCTAGCGATTGGCTCAAAAGTCAGGCGAGCCGACTTTCAGGGCTAAGACGGGACTAAGAACTTGCCGTCTCTTGGAGATTGGCCCACTCACCTGGCATTCATGCCTAAGGCGGGACTGGAATTTGCCCTCTCCGGGTAATTGGTTCGAAGTCACCCAGACGGGACAGAACTAGAACTCACTGTCTTGTGGGGATTGGCCCAAAGTCACCCAGCTGCCTTCTGCACCTAAGGCAGGACTAGAACTCACCAGCCTCCTGGTTCCTAGAAAGCGGTGCTTTCACCACTAGATCAAACTGGATTTCCCGCCTGCCATTCCTGTTAAGATCCCACCCACCCGCTTCCTTGACTCCACCTGAGATCGTTCACGCAAGAGGAGCCAGGCGCCCCCAAGGGTGCCCACCTGCCCTTCCTCCTGACCCAGGGGGAAACCCACAGTGGCGCCCCGAGGATGAAGGCACGTTTGGGGAGCGGCCGCCAAGTCAGCCCATTGCTGCTTGAGCCTGAGGCCTCGGGCGAAGAAGGCAGGGAAGCCAAGAAACGCCTCCCACCCACCCGCCCGTCCACCCACCCACCCAGCCAGGAAGCAGCTCCCGGGACCCCGTCCTACCCGGATGGGAGGGACTTTAGGCTCCTCTTTGGTGGGCTGTGGCTTTTCTGGGTGAACACTTTCAATTGTGTTACGAAAGGACTGACGATCCTCAAGCCGGGGCTTCTTTTCGGGGAAAGAGGGAGAGGCCGGCTGCTCGAAGCACTTCCTCTTCGGCTGCTCCTGCGGCCCCAGAGGCAGGCTGGGAATTCGGTCCGGGGTTGCCGCCGCTGCCGCCGCCACGGCCTCATCCACCTTGCTCAAGACCTTCGTCACCTCCAGGGACATCTCGGCTGAGGGAGATGCCCGGATGGCTTGGCACTCCGTGGCAGGATTGGCCTCTCTCTCCCCGACAGGTGTGGCCTCCGCAGATGAGGAGGAGGAGGAGGATGCCTCTTTGGCAAGGGAGGAAGGCTCCGCTTCGTGCAACTTATGCCGGTTCCGGCGGTTCCGGCAGCGGAGGGAGCGCCTCTTGAAGTGGCCGTCCGGCTGGTGGGCTGTGGGAGTGCAGGGCGCCCTGGCTGGGCCTTCTGGGGAGGCGGCTGTGGTCCTCTTCTCTGCCTCACTGGGGGCCAAATTCTTCTCTTCTGTGGTCAAGCCCAGCCTGCAAGGGGGGGGGGAGGGTAGAGTTTATTGGTTTGGAGTTGGGGAGTTGGAACCCTGACAACCTGAGGACTTCAACCCCCACAATTTCCCACCAACGGTCTTGCACACCACCTTCTATACATATTTACAACTGGCACACTGTCAGGGCCTGTGAGCTACTCACTCCTAAGGGAGGCAGTCCACTTGACCTCTTTCGCCAAGGGTGTCCAACTACGGTAGCTTTAAGACTTGCAGACTTCAGCTCTCAGAACTGAAGCGATGCTGGCTAGGGAATTCTGGGAGTTGAAACCCACCCATCTTAAAAGTGGCCAGGTTTGAGAAAAAGTGCGTTAAACTGAATTTATGTTTTACCGACAAAGACATAAAGGGTAGACTATTATATAGATCTATTCCAAGGTATTTAGCTCTCATTCAGCTAGCCATGCCATTTTTCTGGGATTCCAACCTGGGCTACTTGGGGATGGAGCCATATGCCCCCTCTCATAATTGGGTAGATCAGGATGCCCTGATTTTTTTTTAAAAAAAGTGCATTACATCATTCAAGACAAAAAAATAAAGGACACACTTTTGGGTGTTCTTGTCTGTTTTTGAAAATCACACCACTGCATTGCTGCTGCCCTCAAATTATTTCTGAGGATTGTCTGCCAGAAAAACCTGGACTGCCCTTTGCTTTAGCCAAGTGTGTCCAACCGTGGTAGCTTTTAAGACTGGTGGAACTTCAGCTCCCAGAATTCACCAGACAGTGATGCTGGGAGTTGAAGTCCACAAGCCTTAAAGGGGCCACGTTTGGAGACCCCTGGGCTAAACAGAAGAAGTCTGGCCAGGGACCCTCATTATATTGTAGCCCTCCAGCAGCCGGTGGAGCTGATGGCAGACTCAGATAGTGAGGAGGATGGGGAGGAACACGGGCCAGTCCTGGAGTCTGAGGAAGGCTCTGATGAGTTGTCGGAGGAAGAGATGGGGCGAGGACCCTCCGACAGTTAACAGCTGCCTTCGGAGTCGGAGATGAGTGGGGAAGAAAAACAGCTGGAGCCTGTTTCCAGTGTGCGCATGCACAGAGCTGCCAGGAGAAGGGAACAGCTAAGGAATAAGGGCCGACTGGGGAGTAAAGCCACAGGTGAATAAATGGTGAATGGCCCCTCCCGGAGGGAATAAAAGAGGAGCGAAAGGGGAGTGGGGTTTGCAGGAGACAATTCGTTGATTTAATTAGGGTGAAGATTTGTTCCTGACTCCTAGCCAAGTATTTTCTGCTACAGCCTTGTGTTTGGAAGCGACCAGCCTGGCAACTCTCCAAGGTCTGTAGTTGTAAATCACTCTTGAAGGCTTGTTTACCGTGACTTTGATGGGTGTGAATGAGGGGAATTCACATTAGCCTAATAAAAAAGGGGTTTTGTCGAGGCAAGGAGTCGGCTTTGTGATTTTGGGAAGCCCAGGTAAGAACACGCTAAGCTTTCCTGGGAGAAAAGTCGCAGAGGCTCAGTGGGCCTTCCTTCCTAGGAATTCTCACTCAGCACCTCCCCTCCTCATGACAGGCAGGGAAGGTGTCAAGGACCTCTTTGTGGGTCTAGGGAAGGAAAAACCTGGGGGGCTTTATCCTGGCAACAGCTATGGGGAAACAGAACCTGCTGCCACAAAGACCTGTGTTGCCTTCATTCCATTTATATACAGGCTCAGCCATGTTTCCCCGCCGGACACTTACTTCTGCCCGTAATAGTCCTCGAAAAACCGTTCTTTCCAGATTTCTGTTTTCTTTTCCTTCTCCATTTCCTGCCTGATGCGGACCTGCATCTCGTGAGTAAACTCCCCTGGAAGGGATAAAAAAAGAATCCAGAGTTTATTTGGCTTCGTTAAAAACACCAGAAAAGAAACACACAGAAAGACAGAAAAGAAAAACTAGGATGATTTAAGGCCTGGAGGATAAGACAGATGAAGAACGGTGGCAAGAACTGGGTACGGCCCGTCTGGAGGAAAGAAGGATGAGGGGTTCCAGTATTTGAGGGGCTGCCACAAAGAAGAGGAAGGGGTCATTTTAAAAGGACTTGAAGGCAGGACGAGAAGCAACGGGTGGAAACTGATCAAGGAGAGAAGCAACCTGGAATTCAGGAGAAACTTCCCAACAGGGAGGACAATTAACCAGTGGAACAGTTGCGGGTGCTACAACACCGGAGGTCTTTAAGGAGAGATTGGACAGCCGTTTGTCTGAAATGGCATAGGGTCTCCTGCTTGAGCAGGGGGTTGGTCTAGATGACCTCCAAGGTCCCTTCCAGCTCTATTGACTGACTGATTGATTGATTGATTGATTGAAAAATCACAGCAGAAAGAGACCCAGGGGTCCATCCTGTCTGCCCTTTGAGTTTCTGTTTGTTTCTGTTTTCTTTTCTTTTTTAAAAATTTGTTTCTTTGTTTGCCTCCCAGATGTCAGACATATCGCAACCATGTTTAAACTCAGTTACGAGATTCACTTATTCTGCTGGAAGTTGGTCCCAAGCTTCCACTACTTCTTCTGGGAAGTCACTTTCAAACATTAGAGGTAGTCCCCGACTTAACAACAGTTCATTTAGTGCTCGTTCAAAGTTACAACGGCACTGGGTAAAAGTGAAGACTAAAGACTATTTTCCAAACTTACGACCACTGCAGCATTCCCAAATTCGGACGCTTGGCAACTGACTCAGTTGTAGTATCCCCGGCTATGCTGGCTCAGCAATTCTGGGAGCTGGAGTCCGCCATAAAGGGGCCGTCGTTTCCCACCGCTGTTCTAGGCCAACGCTTGCTTCAAGGATGGGCTTGCCCCCCCCCCCTTCCTCCTCCTCCTCCTCCCAGAACCAGCACTTACCGTCTGCCAGCCTCTCCCGCCAGCTCTGGGCGGCATGAGCAAAAAACTCGTTATTGAGGGCACTTCCACTCAGGCGCAGCAGTCCGTCTGTCCCAGGCTAGAAGGGGGAAAGAGAACGTGGCTTTTACCGACTCCGTTCCGAAAGCGGGGAGACAGAGAGAGAGAAACACAGAGAGCAAAAGAGAGAGAGAAACAGACAGACAGAGAGAGGGAAATAGGGACAGAAATAGGGAGAGCAAAAGGCAGAGAGAGACAGAGAGACAAGAGGT